GCCGAACTACAGTTCAGAGTATGCGGCCTTCTTGGAGTCCTTGGCAGGGGTGCTGGAAGGTGCGCCAGCTGGGGACGCCTTTATTCTGCTGGGGGACTTCAATGCCCACGTGGGTAATGACAGTGTGACCTGGAGGGGCGTGATTGGGAGGAATGGTCTCTCTGATCTGAACCTGAGCGGTGTTCTGTTGCTGGACTTCTGTGCTAGTCATAGTTTGTCCATCACGAACACCATGTTCAAACATAAGGGTGTCCATAAGTGCACTTGACACCAGGACGCCCTAGGTCGTAGATCGATGATTGACTTCATAGTCGTGTCATCTGATTTGTGGCCATTTGTTTTGGACACTTGGGTGAAGAGAGGAGCTGAGCTGTCAACTGATCACCACTTGATAGTGAGTTGGATCAGATGGCAGGGGATGATGCCAGACAGACCCGGTAGACACAAACATGTAGTGAGGGTTTGCTGGGAACGCCTGGCAGAAGAATCCGTCAGAGAGATCTTAAACTCACACCTCAAAGAGAGCTTTAACCGCATCCCAGCTGAGGTGGGGGACATTGAGTGTGAGTGGGCCATGCTCTGCGCCTTGCTTGTTGAGGTAGCTGCCTTGAGCTGTGGCCGCAAGGTTTTCAGTGCTTCTTGCAGTGGTCATCCACGAACTTGGTGGTGGACACCCCGGGTTAGGGAGGCTATCAAGCTGAAGATGGAGTCCTATCAGGCCTTGTTGGCTAGTGGGACTCTGGAGGCAGCTGAGGAATACCGGAGGGTCAAGCGGTCCACAGCCTTGGCTGTTGCTGAGGCAAAAGCTTGGATGTGGGAGGAGTTCGGTGAGACCTTGGATAGAGACCCTTGGCCGGCTCTGAGGAGATTCTGGCAAACCATCAGGCGGCTGAGGAGGGGAAAGCAGCACTTTACCAACACTGTGTTCAGTGAAGGTGGTGTGCTGTTGACCTCAACCAGTGATGTTGTCAGGAGGTGGAAGGAATACTTCTCGAACCTTCTCAATCTCACTAGCACGTCTTCCATGGAAGAAGCTGAGTCGGGGGACTTTGGGGTTGATCCGTCCATAACCGTGGCTGAGATCGCTGAGGTAGTTAAAAAGCTCTGAGGCGGCTGGGCTCTGGGAGTGGATGAGATTCACCCTGATTTACTTAAGGCTCTGGATGTTGTGGGGCTGTCTTGGCTGACACATCTTTGCAACATCACATGGGCATTGGGGGCAGTACCACTGGACTGACAAACTGGGGTGGTGGTTTCCCTCTTCAAAAACGGGGACCGGAGGGTGTGCTCCAATTATAGGGGCATCACTCTCCTTAGCCTCCCTGGTAAGGGCTATTCAGGGGTACTGGAGAAGAGAGTCCAATCGTTGGTCAAACCTCAGATCCAGGAGGAACAATGTGGGTTCCGTCCTGGCCGTGGAACACTGGATCAGCTCTTTACCCTCACTAGGATCCTTGAGGGGTTATAGGAGTTTGCCCATCCAGTCTACATGTGTTTTGTGGACTTGGAGAAGGCATTTGACCATGTTCCTTGGGGTACACTGTGGGGGGTGCTCCATGAGTATGGGATTGGAGGCCCATTGTTATGGGCTGTTCTATCCCTATACAAGTGGTGTGAGAGTTTGGTTCCCATTGCCAGCAGTAAGTCGGACCCCTTCAGGGTGGGAGTTGGACTCCGCCAGGGCTGCCCATTGTCACCGATTCTGTTCATGGCTTTTATGGACAGAATTTCTCGGTGCAGCCAGGTGGCGAAGGGATTCTGGTTCGGTGGCCTCAGGATTCCATCTCTGCTCTTTGTAGATGATGTGGTCCTGTTGCGGTTCACAGACGAATGTGAAGCTGCTGGGATGAGACTCAGCACCTCCAAATCTGAGGCCATGGTCCTGAACTGGAAAAGGATGGATTGCTCTCTTCAGGTCGAGGGTGAGGTTCTGCCTCAAGTGGAGGAGTTCAAGTATCTTGGAGTTTTGTTCACAAATGAGGGAAGAATGGAGCGTGAGATTGACAGACGAATTGGTGCAACATCTGCAGTATTGCAGACTCTGTACTGGTCCGTGTGATGAAGAGAGAGCTGAGCTGTAAGGCAAAGCTCTGTGTTTACCGGTCGGTCTACGTTCCTACATGAGCTCTGGGTAGTGACCGAAAGAATAAGATCGCAGATACAGGCGGTTAAAAATGAGTTTTCTCCGCAGGGTAGCTGGACTGTCCCTTAGAGATAGGGTGAGAAGTTCAGTTATTCGGGAGAGACTCGGAGTGGAACCGCTACTTCTCCACATCGAGAGGAGCCAGTTGAGGTGGTTTGGGCATCTGGTAAGGACGCCCCCTGGGCGCCTCCCTAGAGAGGTTCTTCGGGCATGTCCAACTGGGAGGAGACCCCTGGGAAGATCCATTACACGCTGGAGAGACTATGTTTCTCGGTTGGCCTGGGAATGCCTTGGAATCGTCCCAGAAGAGGTGGCTGTGGAAAGAGATGTCTGGGCCTCCCTGCTCAAGCTGCTGCCCTCGTGACCTGACTTCGGAATAAGCGGAAGATAATGGATGGATGGATGGATCTTTAAAGTTTCTGGAACCTTCCTAATGGCCTCTGCACAGCTGATTCCCTGACTGTCGTCTTCTTGTTCTCCCTTACACCTTACACACGGTTCCAATAATTCTCAGTCGGGTCATCTGGACAGTTTCTTTTTTATAGAGACGTTTTGCCCTCTATCTGGAGGGCTTCATCAGTCAGAGGAATTCCAGTAAACTGTTTACCCACCAAGCTGTAAACTCCTTAAGTGGACCAACCAGTTTGCTTGAGCTGGAGTGGGTGCGCAGAGGTTAGAAGATGGGCCTGTGACCAGAAAGTTGCAGGTTCAACTCCCGGTGCCATCAACATCAAAAATGTGGGTGGAAAAGGTGAAACACCCACACCTGCCTCCACCCTCATTCGCCCCACCCTGAGTCCCTGAGCAAGGCCCTTAACCCCACCATCTGCTTCTTAAACAGGTCTCTCTTGAAAATGAGTTCTCGTGTAAATAAAGGGTAAAAGAAAAATATGGCTTCTGGGGACCATCCTGTCCCCCGTCGACTCCTCCCAAGCAGGCAGCCACAGCCAAAGTGGTTCAAGGCAACAAAGAGGGTGAAATGTCTATAAAAACAACTGTCCAGATGACATGACAAAATTATTGGCTTTGGTACCTGGATGACTAAGCATGAACTTTGTTGCTTACACACGGTTGTTTTCCTTTTCATTCAGCCACAACGTGTCCAAACCTTTGACACTCTCAGCACCTGAGAGGTGGGGAACACACAACCTAACTACAGTATGTAACATGTATGAAATGCGTATTTTTTCTCAAAAGTGTTTAATAAGCTGTCATCCATGAGTCTATATATGTGGTGTCTATCATAACTGAAAGATTTTCCTCCCATTCTGCTTTTAGAAACTCTAGGGACTACAAGTAAACCTGCAGTCTGAGATTCAGGTCTCTTGTAAATGAGTCCCCAAGGCTCAAAAGGATTAAACTGTATAAATAAAGGTTGAATGAATAAAAAGTGCTCTGTTAGGAAAATATGGAACAATAAGATCTGTAATTTAAGATGGAGCTAGGTTGTTGAGAGTTTTGTATGTTCGAAGTAAGATTTTGAATTCTGAATTTGACAGGGAGCCAATGGAGAGAAGCTAAAACTGGAGAGATGATCTCCCACCTACGTTCATTAAAACTGGTAGCAGCCCATTCTTCTTAGGTTATTTTTTTCCCGACAATATCTCATTATCCAAACATCCACCTATTTCCATATGGCCCAGCTCACTTCCTGATCCATCACTTTGTTCCGGCATCTCTGAACCATGTTCCTCTGCCAACCACCTCAATGTCCAAGTCAACACCAACTCTGTTTTCAATCTACTGCTTGTTTGAACCACCCAGCTTCTTTACTCCTGACTGTAAGTGTGGCTCAGAAGCGGGGATCGTCTACCGACATGTCATAAATACATAATTGAAGCTTTTAAAAGATAAGATGGGAAATAATTTGCTGCACATTACTGACATTTGAATTGTATGTTTTTTGTAATATTTGTTTTCTGCATTGTCTTTACTAATTATTTAATCCAAGCTGTGCTTTGTTTGTAAGATTATAGTTTTCTTGCGTGACATATTTTTTTCTGGTTAGTTTTAAATAGATAAAAAAAACTTAAATAAAATACTAGTCATAAAATTATACTAGTCATAAAATTATAATACTAATCATAAATGAATAAAAGGACATTGACATGTCCTCTTACATGTAAGTGGTAAATTCATGAAGAAAAACATAATTCTATAAAATAGAAAACAGCACGCACACACACATAATTACTTTTCTGGTAAATTTAAGACTAGTTCTGGAAGCTGTGATTTTTTTTTAATCCCAAAATTATGATTTTAGATAATGTTATAGTTTGGTTGTAAATTTCTGTATTAATTCATAAAGATTTAGACTTTTCTTGCAAATTTGTTACTTTCCAACATAACATTTTTCTATTTTTTTCATGTAAATAAATAATAGAACTAAATAATAATAAATAAATCTCAAAATAATTTCTTTAGGTTTTTCTATAATGTTGCCAACACCTTCTGTTTTTTTGCATTGTATATTTGCAAACGCTCTGTTATTGGGTCAAATATTTCTTTCTGATGCAATGGAAACTTCCTGTTACGGATATGACGTCAGCATTGAATAATTTCAAACTTCAAAATAAAATGCACAAATTCATTCAATATTTTACACAAAATTTAAAAACAGAGATCATAAAACTTTATTCTAAAGAAGCGTCTAATTTAATTCATTTAAAGTCCTGTTTATTCGATAATATTTGACTAAAGAAAGCATTTCGTTATGTTTCAGAAAGCATTATACAGGTCAGGTGTTTAAATGACAGCGCCCCCACTAGTCTGTAAATATATACGCTCTTATTTTGAAGAGCACTGAAAGCAACAGTTCTGGTCTGTGTCTTTGTTTCACGAACCCCAGCGTTGCATCAGTTTGACTAAGTGTGAGCAGAAAGCTGAAGATTTGACTTCATAAACCAGGTGAGTTGTTTACTGTAGGTCATTTTACTGTTTTCTCTGAACGGAAACAGAAATAACGTTATTCTCATAAACTAACTTCCGACGGAGGTGCTTTAATTTGAAGTGTTTGTTGAGTCAATTCTGAACTGATTTTCATGGTAGGTCTGTGACATTAACTGATGCATCCAAATCCATGTCGTTTAGTTTTATTATTAGATGGAGCTTTAAAAAACGGATAGTCCTTTCACTAAAACTTAGTGAAGGTTAAGATACTTCTGGTCATTTTTAATTTAAAGTAAAGCTGACTGCAGTCGAGCAGCCTCACTTCAAAATAACCACATTTAAAGTTGTGACGTGCAGAGTATGAAGCTTTAAATCTCAACAAAAAGAACATATTCCAAACAAACTTTCAGGATATACAACTGAAAACAGTCAATACATGAATATGCAATTTTATTTTCAACCAATGCATAATTATTTAAATAAATAATGTTCTTAACCCTCCTGTTGTCCTCGGGTCAAAATGACCCACCACTGTGTCCCCCCCCCCCCCCTCCCAAAAAAAATCCACTAAATGCTTTTTTTTTACTTGAAATTTTATGACTTTTCCTAAATTGGCCCCAACAGTAGAAAAAGTGAAATGTTGCTTTTATTCACATTTCCATGTAAGCTGTACAAAAAAAGGTACAAAGGTGGTCTTCGGCAGTGGTGGGATGTAACTAAGTACAAATACTTCGTTACTGTACTTAAGTACATTTTTCGTGTATCTGTACTTTACTTAAGTAGAGTTAAATGTGGGTACTGTTGAATGGATTGTAGCGCAGAGGTGCCGGCGTTGCAGAGAGACAGAAACAAGTGAGTCGTTGGGTCTCTTCAGCCTCTTTCTGGCATATTTATTGAAGACCTTCAGTGCTGTACGCACACAGCTCGTGTTCACAGAACGCCATTTTTCTTCTTCTTGCAAAATGTAATAACGTAACGCACGTACATACCAGAAATATACTAAATAAAACACACCAGTAGGTGGCAGTATTAGAACACATTTTTGAGTAAGAGCGTCAATAACAATAACGTTTAACACCCCCACTCGCTCGTAACTCATTTGTTAGTCCTGAAAACATATAAAACATAAGGTCTTTCTTACCAGAAATGAAAATGTCTCTGCATATTTATGTTCCAAACATGCCCTGAGTAAATTTTCTCAGTTTCAACTTAGTAGCAGGTTTTGTCATCAAATCTGCAATCATTTTATCAGTTGGACAGTACTCAAGCACTATTTTTCCAGTGTTAACAATTTCTCTAATAAAATGATACTTAATATCAATATGTTTGCTTCTTTGCCTGTTCACTGGGTTCTTAGCAAGTGCAATAGTACCTTGGTTGTCTTGAAACACTTTTGTTTGTACATACTCGTAACAATCTATGCCTTTCAGAAGTTGCTCTAAATAGAGACGTTCTTGTACAGCTGATGCTAATGATATGTACTCTGCCTCGCAGATAGACAATGCCACTGTTGGTTGTTTCTTTGTCTTCTTCTTCCAAGAGATCAAAGAACTTTCATCATTTAAACTAGCACAATATCCTATAATGTGCTTCTTTTATCTGTTGAATCTGATGCCCAATCGGCATCACAGTAGATTTTTAATCCTAGATTTTGTGAGTTATTTCCTTTAAAACTCAACTCTTTCTGCTGTACCCTTAAGATATCGGAAAACATGTTTTACTGTATTCTAGGGCTGCAACTAACGATTATTTCAATAATCGATTCATCGGCCGATTATTTTTCGATTAATCGATGAATCGGCAAAAGAAAAAAACAACGTTTTAATTTCCACCCCTTTATTCCAAAATTGAACATTTGACTGACATAGCAATTCGCACAACAAACAGGTTGCCATTTGACTATTCTGTTGGTAAAATATTGAATAATAAAAAATAAAAATCAAATAGCTTAAAAAAATAAATGTACACAAAAATATATACAAATGTATCTTTATACCTGCACAATATGTAGCTACTTTGTAAAATGTGTCATTGAGGGAAGAGTGTAACCTGGATTAAAAGTGTGGAATATTGTAACCTGGATTAAAAGTTTGGATTATTGTAACCTGGATTAAAAGTGTGGATTATTGTAACCTGGATTAAAAGTGTGGATTATTGTAGTGAAGCCTTCGTCTTCAACCATCAACAGAGGCCTCGTGTCAGTGACGATCACTTAAGGATGATTTCAGTGAAGACAGCTGCTGCTGTGGTGTCCATGATGTCTGTCCATCATGAAGGATGTCATTGTTTGTTGTTGTTTTCTGGAATGAGAGAGTAAATATGTATTATATCATAATTTACAGCAACTCAAGAAATGCCTTGTTTCACTTACAGCGTTAGGTTCAGGCAAAAGTAGCTAAAAGAGCAATTAAACACACACACACACACACACACACACACATATATATATATAATAATTACACACATTTGAGTAGATGTAATAAATTACTTTAATTCCTGTTTAAATGCAATTCATCCTGCCGTACATGCAGTGTCTTCAGACTTTGCCAGCAAATTAAAAGTTGAAGCTTACTCATTAAATTATTATCTTTGTGTTAGATTTATTTATAAATCACATTTAAACACTGCTTGTACCAATTAAATAAAATAAAAAGTAACACATGTTCTCTATCACCGTCATCAGAGCCCTATAACGAGAGAGTTGCGACACTCTTTGAACTTGCCGATACGCGGTCACGTGGTTCATGCAGCTCCCAATAGTTCCAAACAGCTCATCCAGTTTGAGCGGCTGCTGGCGCAACATAACACAAAAATCGACTTTTCTTACTTCACCTGACGTCTTTCAGTAATTACTGAGCAGTAACGACCTGATTACTTAAATGATTACTGATTATTTCACAGACTATGCATTTTATCAAAGCATTTTTAGAAGCGGCTGATACATTTATCATTAAATTTTAAAGTGAAACAAGATTTTATCATTAAATTTTAGAAGGAAACGAGACTACAAACGCATATTTGTTAGAAAAAAAAAAGTCTATGCAATACAATGATCAATATAGTCATGTCAGTGTTTTATAACGTTACACACGATAAATAAAAGATCAGAGTAACACCTGTTATAAAGTTATTTCTGATGTTCTCTGCATGATAATGCTCCACCTTGTCCTCCATGCAGCAGTTCAGATCTGCTCCAGCTTACCTTAGATCATCTGGATGAATTCTTTATTTCTATAGAAGATATTAATTCAACCTTTATTTAAACAGGTTCGTCCCATTGAGCCACTAGGACTCATTTACAAGAGAGACCTAAATATAATTGTTGTACTTGTCATTTTTTTTATGGCAACCAAGTACCTGGATAACTGAGTTGATTGTGCTTGTAGCTTGACAACTATTGTAAAATTGTAATTCATTGATTAAAATGTTAATTTAAATTAAACTGATTCTAGTTAAAATCATAACAGATGACAAAATAAGTGTTAACAGTGCAAAAATAAATCTGTTTCTGTTTGGTTCAAGTCTATTCCTAGAAAATGTTTCAATCTTCCTAGATCTTTCATTTTGAACTTTTCATTTAACATCTTCTTCACTCCCTTCAAAACTTCTTCACTATCAGCTGCAATGATGAGGTCATCCACACATACCAGTAAGATGATCTTTTCACCGTTTGTCTCTCTAGTATACAAGCACTGATCACTAGGATTTTGTTTGTAACCATTTTCACTTAAATACACATGAAGTAAAGCATTCCAGTTTCTGCCAGATTGTTTTAAACCATACAAGGACTTTTGTAACTTGCAAACAAGTTTTTGTTAGGAGTGCGCGGGGAACCCAGATGATATGAGACCCAGAACGAGGCAGACACAAGGGGAATACAAAATAACAGTGTTTATTATTTACAGTGAGATTCAATCACATCCACTGGCTGCTGGTCTGAGGCTCCTGGAAAGAGGGACGACAGGTTAATGGCTGTCCAACGGGGGAGGCTCAAGTTGATTTTAAGGAATGTGTTTTGTCCTTACAGTCCAACCCGAAGGGAGAGCTGGTCCTTCAGTCCAAGGCGAGCGAGCAGCAGAGGGGAATCCAACAAAGTCCAAAAGGGGAACGAGGAAGGCTGGCACTGGAGGCAAAGAGGCACGAGGAACACCTGAGAGGCCTAGGATCCAAATCAGGTCACGAGGGAAATCCAAAGAGCACGAGGAACCAGGAAACTGGAAAAAAGAGCAGAAGGTGAACAAATTCCTTTCACCAAGGCATTTGCCTCACAACAGTACAATACCATAAGAGGTGATATGCTCCAGCGTTGAATCACACCGGACTGCAGCCTTAAGTAGATGGAGAGGCTCATCAGGCTGATGGCCGCCAGGTGTTGGTAATCAGCGGCCATCAGCAAGGCAGGCTGCAGGCAGTGGGATCCTTACAGTTTTTCTCCTGTGTTAGATTTCTTCTCAAAACCTTCTGGTTGATCTATATAGATTTCATGATCAATAGGTGCATGCAAATATGCAGTCTTAACATTCATCTGGTGTAGGATTAAATTTTCCTGTGCTGCCTTTTGCATAATCACTCTTACACTTGTCATGTCAGCCGTTGGTGAAAATGTCTCTTCATAGTCAATGCCTTGTTTCTGATTGTAACCTTTCGCTACATACCTTGCATTGTATTTATCAGATCCATCAACCTCATTTTTCATTGCAAAAAACCCATTTACCCCCCACTGTCTTTTTGCCTTGTCGTAGTTGGGAAAGTATGAAAGTTTCATTTTCTTTTAGTGACTGTATTTCCTCTCTCATTGCTTCTCTCCACTGTC